GGCGTGCAGGCTGTGATACTTCGGCGCCTAAGGCGTAAAGAAGGCGCCTTATGTGATTAGGATAGCACTAATGTTATGGGTGTTTGATGTTTAGGCCAATTATTACATAAAAGTATTGCTAAGCCAATTGTTGCAGGCAGGGTTCGTTTGAGAACTGTACCTGCAATGCGTTTCAATGTTGCAAGTCCTTCGGCATCAGCTGCAACAGCAAGAATGAACAATTGGACGTTGTAAATATTTCGAAGATCCTCAGCTGCTGGTGCTGCATTTCCCCTGCAAAGGCATCACCTTGATCATGCGCAAAAAGTTTTGGAAATTCAAAATACTATAAGAAGAAACATGTGGATACCTATTTCTTCCATTGGTTATCATTATTACGATACGAGTAGCATTTTCTCTTCCGTGCAGCTGAAGTTGTTTAAGAAAATGTTGAGAAGATTTCAAGTGAATTTAGTTGCAAAAGAAGAGCTCAAACCTGGAACTGTTGTCGAGCAGCATTAAGGCCATAAAGGGCGATGGCCACTCCGTCGTTGATCTTTTCCGTGTCCGAAATTTGCTGGATCAAGTCAATGTTGTCCTCGTAATGACCGAGCGCAACCGGAACGGCTACCTTGTCACTAAAAAGCATAGCTTGTTTCACATTTGCTAGCAATTCACTACCATGACACAGTATCAATCTGGCCATCCCATGAATTAACACCCTCCTACTGTCGGTCACAATGATAGACGCTATAAAATGCCGGTGGTAGTTACGAGGTACATTACAAGGCCTTCTATTGCTCCAGTCTGATTATGAGGATAGAGGCCACACATCAAAGAAGCGCTATTTCGCAGGATATTATCGAAGTTGGAATAAAAAAGGATCTCAGCCCATTTTGGAGTCTTCAATATTCTCAATTTGTACAATGTATGTGGCTGGAAAGTTCGGAAAGGTAGGGACGGTTGGAGGAAGGTCCGATGAGTATGATGTACTGAAGAACTTCATCTTTGAAAGCTTTTGTTTTATTCAAACCAAGAAACCAAAGAAGAGCAGTGTTCGGAAACGATGATTTTTGTCGCCAGGATATTATAACTTCTTAGCAATCTATCTGAATACATTATAATATTGGGGAAAATTGAAAATGAGGTATTGTAGGGCAGACATGTGCCTCCAAATACCATAGTCCTGGGAAAAGACATGCATTTACTGGATTTAAGACCACAGCAAGACCTGTGCTTAGTGGTCTAGGTATGCAATTTGCTTGTGTATAAATATTGTTGCGATGTAACCTTCTCGCGCGATCATGTAATAAAAAAACAGTGCCTGTTGAAGATAGCATGGATATTGGTCTGATCGAAATGTTCTGCAGTTATTTGAGTCAAAGACTTTCCAAGGGTTTTCAGCTTTTCCGATGATTTCTAGGTGACCTGAATCTCATATTCTCCCACTGCCTTTGACAGTATAACATTGCATATGTGTTTGAGTAAGGAGCTTACACGCGAGCAAAGAAGATAATTGATCCTGCACGTGTGCGAGTTCGGTTCGAAACCAAATATTGTTATAAGCTGCTTTATCGAATCAGTAAATGGTGAAGGGGAGGCTTGAAGTTTGGAGCGGCCCTAGAAACGTTTTGCAAAAGTGAGAGCTTCTGCACCGAGAGGTTAGAGTGGTGCAGCAAAAGCTGGACGCTGCACAAGAAATCTGACGCTGTTGGAAAGATTTCTTTCATTGAAGCCCATTAACCAGAACAATGACGGTAGGCGATCAAGCTTTCTATATTTAGAACATTCAACTATTGGACATATTTCGAAATTATCTATTTAGAAAGGGGTCTACTCCATTTACCGGGAAGGGGCATTACGATGCAGTTTCTTGGCGAACTAGGTGATTCGAACATTCCAGCCTATTCAGCGCATATCAACTGACTGCCCTCACTCCCCCCCCCGTAGGCTGGCCTACACTCCCCTGGCTCGGAGTTACCATAGCTTTCTGGAATGCTCGTATAACTTCGTATAATCGATGAGACGCATCCCTGCAGTGATTTAAGCCTCGCAGTACAAACTTTGTACCGTGTAAAGGTTGTCCTTTTGGATTTAATTTGACTTCTTTATTAATCAGTTTCCTGAATTTCTATCAGAGAGTGATAATCTGGTTCAATCGGAAAGAATATTGCGTATCAAGACACAGAGTAGCGGCGAGGAAGGCTCTAACATAAGCATGATATGATAAGTATGTAATAACGGCGAGCGAAAACGAAACTGCATTTTAAAGGTTAGGTGGTTCTTATTTCATGTTTCATGAAGGGAAACATGATCTAATCTTACATTCCCCAATGCTTGGATGCTGAGTTCTTTGCAAATTCGCCGCGATATTGCTGGCTGCGGCGGCCGGCGCGGCGACCTACTTACTGCCACGATTGTATAGTCACGCACCCGGGTTAGAACGAGATGCTAACCATAAGCACCGAAATATCGCCGCATCCAAAACTGAACACTTTTGGGATTGATTTTTTGCGAAACATTTGGGTTGTTTTTGACAATAAGAATTTCGAGCCTCGAAGTGTACAAACATAAAGATACAAAGGTAAACATCAAAATGGTTTCAAATGATACAGGAATCGTCAAAAACAATCAACGAGGATTTCTAATGTTTCAGTGTTAACTTTCGCCAAACGGCCAAAATTTCCTTTTAACATTACTTCATTGTCCACGCTACCAGTTGTTTAGTTGAATACGACATTTATGGAAACATTTGTTGGATTCTTCAACAAATAGCATTCCAGCAGGAGCGTTCTAGGCTTCAAAAAACTTAATTAATCGAGATTTCGAATAGTGGAACTTACCTATAGACCACGAAACCAATTCTGGCGACATCTGGTGAGAGATCGAATCCTGCATCAACCAATTCGGCGACACTCTCCTTCATTTTGTCGAATTCCTCTGGCGAGAAATTTTCAGAGGAATCTAACATGATGATGACATCAGCCTGAAACAATTGATTGTTATTCATTATTGGATGAGCAGTAGTGCCTGAAAAATTACCGGATAGTCAATTTGGTTGCAAGATCGAGCAGGCATAGATGACTGAGTAATGATTCTTCTTGTTGGCCATGTAACAGCGCTTGAAGTATCGGCTGGAGCGATCTTCAACGAAAACAGTTTAGTAAACCTGCTCTCAGGTATTATGCATATTATCAGATGTCCACTATATCGTAAGCTACGGGCTGCAATAAACACCGCTATCTGGGTATACAATGAAAATAAAACTTGACCCTAATTAAAACGCTGTAAGGATCCACTCACCTTGCAGATGGCGTCAGCAATCGGTCCCAAAACTTCCGAATCAGTTCCTCTCCATCTTGGAATGCGAATAATCTTGTCCTTGGAGGTTATTTGTGAGTCTTGGTCAAAACTTGCGTCATCACCAGCTTCAACCACGAACAGCTCAGCTCCAATATCACTTTTGAGAGCTTCCACTTCTTCATGGAAATCATCTCTGAAAATGATGCAATACCATACATTGTAGTTACTAAGAAGCTAGCTCAGAAAAAAGGTCTTGAAGCGTTTTCATTCGCTATTCCGCTGTCTGCTTCATTTTGCACAGGACGCGCTGTGCTACCATTCGCTTTGCTCTTATGGTTAGGGCGCATTAATAGTTGACCGTCCGATCGTAACGACCGCACAGCATTAGATGCGTATCGATCGTCAGACGTGTCCGAAGATTGGGCGTTCGAGACGTACCTAACGCTGTGCGATCGTTGCGACGGCCGATTATGAATGCCCTCTCACATACTGCGAAAGCAGAAACTGATGGTGTTACAGGACTACACAGATTACTCCTTATTGGTTGCGTAGTCGAGCCATGCTGTTCGATTTGCGCCAGAGATGC